TGGGGGTGGGGGGGTGGGGGGGGGGGGGGGCCCGAACCCCAAAATCCTCAACCCCAAAAATCCCAAAATTTTCCCCGCCAAAATCCCCAAATTCCCAAATTTTTTCCCGCCAAAAGAAGGGCTCGGGAGCGCGGAGGTGGAGGACTGTAAGTTATGCAAATGAGGCGCGGAATATTCATGAGGGGGGAGGGGGGGGAGCCCCAAAAATGGGGGGAGGGGACCCAAAAATGGGGAAAAATCCCCCAAAAATGGGGAAAAATCCCCAAAAATGGGGGGAAATCCCCAAAAATTTGGGGTGAAAGTGCGAAAAAAATTGGGAAAAAACCCAAAAAATGGGAAAAAAAAAAAACGAAACAAAAATTTGGGATGAAAATGCCCAAAAATGGGAAAAAAAGCCAAAAAAACCCCAAAATTTGGGATGAAAATGCCCCAAAATGGGGAAAAAAACCTAAAAAATTTGGGGTGAAAATGCCCAAAAATGGGAAAAAAAGCCAAAAAACCCCAAAAATTTGGGATGAAAATGCCCAAAAATTGGGGAAAACCCCAAAATTTGGGATAAAAATGCCCCAAAATGGGGAAAAAACCTAAAAAATTTGGGGTGAAAGTGCCCAAAAATGGGGAAAAGGGACCCAAAAATGGGGAAAAATCCCAAAAAATGGGGAAAAAACCCCAAAATTTGGGATGAAAATGCCCCAAAAATTGGGAAAAGGGGCCAAAAACGGCCAAAAACCCCAAAAATGGGGAAAGGGACCCAAAAAAGAGGAACTGGAACCCCAAAATCGCCCCTCCCCCACCCCCCCTCGATGTCGAAACCCCCCGGAATTGGGGGGGGGGGGAGGGGCCCCGAAAATGGGAAGTGGGAACCCAAAAATGAGATGGGGACACCCCAAAAACCCAAAATCCCCCAAAATGAGCCAAAAACCCCCAAAATTCCACGAAATCCCCCCAAAATGAGCCCAAATCCCCCCGAAATTCCCCCAAATCCCCCAAAATCCCCCCAAAATTCCTC